GGGCGACGGTGTGCTGACAACCCCGCCGAGGAGGAGTACCTCTCCCAGCTGCAGGAGGCTAAGGAGTACTAGCCACAGCCACGCTCAGAGGAGCCATGGCCACCACCGGCTCCCACTCTGGCCCAGCCTGGCGAAGCCCTGGCCCTGCTCATGGGCTCCTCACTGGCGCCGGGCAGAGCGGGGAGGATGCGCTGTCCATCTTGTCCGCTCAGAGGGGTGCCTCGGCCCCCCTCGGATTTCCGAGGGCACTGGAGGTTATCGCGGTGTGATCCCTGCTGTGCCACCCGGGGTGGTCCTGTACCGCAGGGTGCCTGGGCTGGCACGCAGGGAGCTGCAGGGGATGGGAGGCGTAAAGGGAATGGGGGGCTGCTCCCATCTGCTTTTATTTTCTACGACCTTTCAATGCAACCTGAAAGCTGAGCGTCTGCTGGGTGAAATGGCCTCAGCTCCTACTGGCTTCACGGCGCATCTGAGGAGCTGTCTTGCTGCAGGCAGAGCTGCCTGCTCTTGCCTGTACACCTGCCCTGGCACACACTGGTCTACTTCTGAAACTGGGGGTGGGTCCTCCTGGGGAGGGGCAGGGCTGTCCCAGCCATGCGTACAGAGCGGGACCTCCCCTCTCCTCAGGTTTTTTCATGCGCAGTTGGAAAGGAGCAGGGAGAAGCTTAGCAAGGTTTCATGGGTCTGGGGGTTGTGTGGGGCAGGAGGAGACTGGCCACCTGGGCTCCCTTGGCAAGACTGCCTTGCCACCACGGTTTTGGCTGCGAAAGGGAACACTGGGTGCCAAAGCCAGACATGGCTGGACCTCAGAGGAGGTCAGCATGGGGGGACACCACCTGTATGCATTTCAGCCCCTCTGCCTCAGTGCTTGGGGGAGCAGGGTGGCAGCACCCATGCAAGTCCCACCACCAGCCTGCCTCCACACCTGGACTCCCTGGCAAACCCCCAGCGGGTTTCAGTGCTCAGGAGCACCCGTGACACAGCCCAGCAGAAAGTCCTGCATTTCCCACTCACAGACCTGCCGAGGGCAGGAGGCAGCTCAGCCACCGCTCGTGCCATTGCCGGAGAGGAGCAAAAAGCACCAAGCCAAGCTCTCCATGGGGATGGGAAAAACTCAGGCGCCACTGGGAGTACCCAGCGTTGCCCCTCTCTGGTCTGCTGCTGGCCTGGGGCCCTGCTCCATGCTGTGTCTGCGCAGATCTCCAGCGAGAGGCAGCCCAGAGAAAGCAAGTTGTGGGCGCACCCTGTGCTCCTCAGGCTCGCTGCCTGGCCAGACAAGCAAGTGTGGCTCCAAAGGAGGAAGACACGCGTGCTAATAATGTCAATACCTGGTGTCTGCAGATCATGGATCATGATGCTCTCTGTTGGCGCTTTGGTCTTGCTTGGGTTTTATTCAGCTTTTCACAGGATCATGGCGGTTTCTCCCAGCATATTTTGGGAGCTCCCAAGTTTCCCGCAGACAAACTAGGCTGAGCACCTTTATCCCTGGACATTCAGTTGCTGAACCTGGCAGAAACCGTTCATAGCTTTTATTTAGCAAATTTTATGCATCAGAGGAAATAAAAGAGCAAGTCAAGCACATGTAAAGAAGAATGGAGTAATTTCTAGACTAGAGGTTTCACCCAAGGCTATTGGCTACTCCATGTTTTTCTGCAGGCCACTGTTGGACCAAAAAACATCTGTCTGGGTGCAGAGGTCCTTGGTTGACTGTCCTGTGCTAGGTCTGTCCTTCTTGCAGGAGCTTTCTCCAGGGCCAGTGAATATCCACGGACTGATAGCTCTTTGGAGAGTCTTTCTGGGAGCGTCTTATATACGTTGAGTGTATGTTGATCCTATTGCCTTGGTTACTGATAGAATATTGCGTCCTTGGTCATCAGTACCTAAGACTTCATTGCTGGTAAAACAAAACTATTAATCAGGTTATCACTGAATTATTCTTATTTAACTATTATTCCACACTCGTATCCCCAGACTCCAGTTATGGGTGCTATCAAAACATAGGCAGACACCATCTGTTTCCCAACACGCGTGCAGTCTGAGATGACCAGTGTTATGTAAAGGGTGAGAAGGAAGACGCAACCAAATAAGCATGGATGGAGACCCAGACCCTGGTAAATTTTTATGACTATTACATGTTCCCTAGCCCAAATGGTCATTTGCTCACTAGTTTCTGGTAAAGAGGCAGGTCATAAAGAAGTGGTCAAGAGGGGGTGGCAGTGATCTGGTGGCTTGGTTCTGGGAGCCTGGGATGCGTGTGGGGACGCCTCAGCAGCAGACATGGAGGCGTTTGTAGACATATTGAGTGGCCGAGGCCATGGAAGGATGAGCTTGTTATCTTCTGTCATTCGGCAGAGCATCTTCATATTTTGTCTTCCGTATCGTATGTCATCATAACATCAGCAAACTCTCAGAGGGGCTTTATTTACCATCAGTGCACAGACTTCTTTAAAACAACCTCCCATTAAATGTGCCTAGTGTCCAGTATTGGACCCACGCATGGAAGCAGGACCTCTACAAACAGCCTTTCTTGAAGGAGACTTTCAATAGCTCAGCCAATTTGTTAGACTGGCTGCTTTCTGAGGAAGTGCTCTTATAATAAGGACTGTTACCCAGGATTTGCACCCTCCTCCTCTTTATACTGGGTATGTCAACCAGTCTGACCCCCAAAAAAGAAACTATAATTTCTGTAATAAATGGAGTTCCCATCCAAAGGCAAATAGAAAAATTTCTTGCATTGAGCCCTCCCCCTAAAAGCTGGTTGAAAGCCGAGTGGCTGTTCTGCCTCGCTGCCTCTATGGTTTGGATGATACAGGCATGAACCAGAGCATGAGAAACAGGAAGCAGTGTTGTTCCTCACGCAAGCACCTTACACACTGGCAGGCTTTGCGGGGTACCATGAGAAAAGTAGACATTAAGCAGGCGTTTATTTTTATATCCCATCAAAGATTCTGTCCAGCCCACTGCTATTTAAGTGATGAATCTCTAAGCTTCCACTCCTTAAGTTTATTGTGTTTTTTATATATAATATATATAAAATGTCTTCTATTCCTACAAAATTTCATAGAGAAGAATTCTTTATTCTGATGCTGCAATAAAGCACTTTATATATATATGCGTTGCTGATGTTATTCAGTTGGGACTGAAGCATATGTTGCTATTTGTTTTGGTTGAGAAGGATGACACTACATTGAATGCTGTGTGCCTTGGGGCCCCAGCCCCAGCTGTACTGCGAAGACCCTGGTGGCTTTCCTTCCTTCCCTTAGCATTTGCATTTGATGGTGTCTGGCTGCAAGAATTGCAGCTAACAGAGACTATCCGGAGCCCACCGCCACAGCCATGGGATATGTGAAGTTCTGCTCACAGGGAAGGAAGCCTCCTACAAGACGACCATCAGGATCAGTGCTGAGAAGCAAATGCATTGCCTGTGCCTCAGCCCTGGCCCCAGGTTTTATTCCATGCTCAGCCTGGCCAGAGCTGGGGGCAGGCTGACCTTACACCAGCACACTGCTTTAAGCAGGCATTGAGCATGGGAGCGGGTGAAAAAAACCCCCAGCATCATCCCAGCTGGAAAACTGGTTTGGCAAACCACCTCCAGAGCCAACAGCTAATGATAGCAGGGGGGATTTGCAAAGCTTTCCAGGGATCACAACTTTTCGTTGCCGTTAATTTGCTGCATAAATTGTGATCACTTCCAAGCTCTTACTATTTCCAGCTGTTTTCCCTCCTCTCTTGCTCCTTTTGCTTTGTGCTGGCTGCACATCTGTCAAGGGTTACCTGCTACTCCAGCACAGGGCTCTGCTTCGCAGCTGGCTCATGCTGTTGCTGGCCCCTGCCTGGGGGGAGCAGACAACTCCTGTCTGTGAAGGATGGTCTGAGCTTCCCTCTGGTGTTCTGCAACATCAGAAACCTTCTTGCATGGAACCCAAGCCAGGGGGAGCAGGCTGAAGTTTGCTCTGCAGGAAAAGCAGCACAGAGTTTTTTTGGAGGGCAGTCAGCAGTTACTACTGTGTATATAACATGCCTAACATGCCTTTATCCTCTGCAACAAGGTCCTTGCTGTGCTGGATGCTGAGCCCTGCTCCGAAACTCCTGGGCTATAGAAATCCCACAGCCAGAGGATGGAAGCAGGAAGAATTGCTGCCCTAATTCTGCAGGTGCTCAAGACCTGGAGATGTCACCTGAAATCATGGGGAGTCTGTGGCAGAGTCTCAAGTTGCACCTTTGCCCACCGCTTTCAACACAAGACTTCTTGACCAGTTGAGTTGTCTTACTTTGCCAGCCTGGTCTGGAGCTTCTTGTGGCTCAGCTTTGCCAGTTCCCTGGCATCTGACTTGCAGCTGAGTTAGTCTGTACACAGCGGGACCCGTGCCCAGATTTTGCTAGGCACAACGGTCAGCATGTGCTTGTCTCTGCTGACCACCACTCTTGGCCCCAGACAAATCAGGAGCAAGCTGTGCAAAGACCTTTTGACTGTGAATGACACCTTGAGGGCACGGGTGCATGGTCAGCTGCCTGGGGGACAAGGCAGGGTGAGTGCAGCCCATGTCTCAGGGATGAATGCAAGATTTCATAGAAACATGTTTACAGCAACAGAGATGCCATTAGCTGTCTGCTTTTTTTCAGGGCTCCTGCTCCAAGAATCTGCTTCTTGGAAAGCACACAAAAAGCCCAGCTGGGCCCAGAAGGAGCTGCTTTGGGAGGAGAAGACAGAGGATGATAATGCCAGGAGAGTTTGGCCAAAGCCTCTGAGGCAGACCTGAACTGCAAGGCCTGGCCTTAGCTTAGGAAAGAGCAAAGTGTGGTTGTGATGGTCTGTGGACCTTGAGTTAAAACTGAAGCTCTGGAGAGAAGAAAAAAAAAAAAAGACCTTGCAGGCACCCCTGTTCCTGATCTGTAGAGGGACCCACCCCACTGTGTGGCCACATCAGCCCTCCCAGCTGGGTGTGCTGGTGGCACAGCGTGGCACACAGCCACCAACTTCTCTGGAGAAGAGTTAAAAAAAAAAAAAAAATCACACTAGCAGCGGTTTTTCGGCAGTAGCCCTGCTGACCGCAGCGTGGACAGTGGGCAAACAGGAGCTTGTGGCAAGACCTGGTCTCCTGGGCTTTGCCTTTGTCCTGAGTGTGGAGAATCACCCCTGGCTGGTGACCAGCACCCAGCAGAGCCCGTCCTCTCCTCCGCTTTCACTGACACCATGCGGAGGGATGCTGAAATCACACTGGGGTAGCCCTGCCCAATATGTCCACGGGACGGGATCCCCTTTACTCCTTCCATCTCCACAGAGGATGGACCCACATGTTTGCAGTCGGGAAAGGAATGTCTCACCCTCCTTCCCTGCCATGCAGTGGCCAGCTGCTCCTCGGAAATGCCTGAGAGGAGCCCAGCTGGCGAGGCCTGGCCCCTGCTTTGTTGCAGGTCCTTGCAAGCATGTCAGCTATTCTTCTCTCACTGCACGGGCGCCCAGCAGCAGGGATCACAGCCCCGCGCAGCTTGACCGTCATGCATGGGCCAGGGGCCACAGCAGAGCCCGTCCGCCAGCCAGCATCCCCCGCCACACCAGCCCCTGCCAGCCCCAGC